ATGAAATCGGAATTCACATTTCACATACCCAACTCCTCTTTCATCAGCAATTTGCAGACACTGTACAAAGCACTTTACAGTTCAAATTGATAGTATTTTCATGACCACTTTAAATAGACAATCTCAGCAATCTGAACATTTTGCCGGCCTGAGCGACCATTGTCTATGAGGGTTGTGGATTAGCAAGCTTCTCCTGTATCCTCCATTCATTATGGTTGATCCTGACTGAGGATGGACCCGCTGCACAGGAAGACTGGCTGAGTGTCTGCCAGCAGCCGTGCGAAGAGCACAGCGTTATGCTAAGGCGCGTGGTAGGGTTTAAGTGATATATCCTGCCTTAAGTCTTCCCTGCAGCCTCGCCATGTGAAATAACAGTCCAGGAATACCTCCTCAATGACCCAACCCCTCCCTTTCCTATTTCCTTCTACTGTTTGGCCCCCTATCTGTTTAGACAGCAGTTGTCATTAATTCTCCCACTACTGAATTAAACCAATATTATATCAATCATGCCACTGTGCTCGATGCCAACTTGTTTCTTTGAGATTAGAAAGCGATAAGTTGTGGATAAAGACAGCAATTTAAACCTCAGGTTATTGGATGTGAGTTGGATTATTAATTAACAGCCTGCCTGCTTTTTATTTTGATAAGTTGTAAGAAGGTAAATTAGGCCCCTTTGCAAGTAAAATCAATATTTTACTACCTTTATTTAAAATGATAATCTAAAGTTTCAAGCTTTGATTTCTGTCTTTTTTTTGTTGTTGCAAAATGCTCCATAATGGCTGTCGCTGCTCACACCGCTGCTCACACCAACTCTTTGGTCTTCTTTGGTGCATTTAAGTTAAATTAGAAGCGTAATATGCACCATCTCCTGTGAAACAGAGGTCAGCAATGTTCAGAGCCATGAATGAAAAAACCTTTAATGAACTGATACCAATTGAATCGCTGCCGAAACACAGCAGAAAGTGAACATTACTTAAATGTCAAAGACCTACTTTACATTTCAGCAGTCTGTCGCACATCGTCACATTCATGTCCAAAAGAATTGTAGATCATTTCTAAAGAGCCGATTTGACCTCGAAATGCTGTACTCTTTCAAAATGTAATAAAGAAAAATATTTTAAAGGGAGCATTGCAAGTTGTTAAAGAATAGAAAGTATCTACTATGTCACACAAAGAAAATACATGCCGTCACTGAACGTCCATCAGTATATTATCCATCTGTATATACCCTTCCACTTGTGTGTAGGCAGTGGCAGTTGAAGATTCTCCATACAGGTCAGGGCCAAGTCAAACATCCAGCATCAGCTTACACTCTCCAAATCCTAACCTTAACCAGAGAGCTAACATACCTATATATTGACCTCTGAACAGCTAATGAGAATACTGAGCCGGGCTGAGGCAAGTGCTAGGCTGACAGTCGTCTCTTCAGCCCAAGAATAACTCCTAATAAGGCTGCTGGGGGTTATTGTTACTCAGAGAACTTAATGCCACTTTTATTACGCCTCACTAAAAATAAGAATTAAAAAAGCAAGAGGTTTCCTTCTTCTTCTCTTCTGACAAAGAAACAGACATAAATTGAGACAACAGTGCTCAATGGAAAAGACGGCCATGCTTTAATTTGAAACAACTTGAATTTTAGTGAGCTGATATACCATGAAATCTAAACACTGTCCTCCAGTGAAGAAAGGAACAGATGAGAGACAACAAAATGTGAACTTGCTAAAGAACAAAGCACCACTGGCTATTATAGTAACACAATTAACAGAGATGAATTCCCTCACCTACCAAATACATCTAAACAACATAAAGATGATCTAGCAACAGGGATGGAGGGCGATCTATCTGTCAGCTCGGACAGACATTTACAGCACCTGACTGCTGCCGCGGTCTCAAGGCCCGACCGTGACCCTGCGGCAGAGTCAAGTCCAGTGTGGACTGACACAGTGTCGTACCGACGGCCGGAGAGCGTGCCTCCACCAGATGACACCAGAGCCGTGGGGCCTGGGTTGAGACGGAGGCGAGGACAGATAACATGCATGCCGCTCGGCTCGCTTTTTAAAAAAGGGTCTTTGAGCTGGTTGAGAAGTGTGCAAGTGCATGTATTCGTGTGTACGGCGGCTGTCAGCCACGCAATTAAGGAGAGGCCCTCTGAAACCCATTCTGGCATACGTAAGCATCGCACAGGCGTGTTGTAACACTTGCAGACAGGCGGCCACACTCATTCAGGCCTCCCAGCGGTCTTCATCAATCTCTTCTCCTTTTCAACAACAGCCCACACACTTGCAGGCTTTACATACACTCACATCATGCACAGAGAATTTCTATTTCTATGGCCCGAGATAGTCCATTCAACATCTGTGACAACTCCACATCAAGAAAATAGATAACTACAGCTGTGTTTGCATACCACTAGTACGTTGGGGAAACCTCATTTCATTTGTTATTATCCAGCCATCTTTGCTTCACACTCATTGCAGTAAGGGGTTGGTGATGTTGACAAAACTTTCTATCATATTATATGTAACTTTAGATATTGAGGTATAGTAAATTAGTAGTATAGTAAATGTTCTGGGAATTCAACTGAAAAGCCATTTATAGATCTAAAAAATTACCCTAAGGTAAAGTCTGGTTTTCGCAAAACCATCTGAAATAAATACCCACGTACTTCATCATACAAATGCAAAAAGCCAAATCCAGTCCTGCTCATTTAGTTTTAGTTGCCCAAAATGGTGACCTGACATGTTAAGGTGAGAATCATATTGGTGTAGCATAAATGGTGCTGCAAAATCTCTCACGATCACTGTATATATAAATCATGCCACTTAATCAACCAGAAAGTCCCCCTTGCATGTACCAGTAGCTCTGGTAGCCCAATACAAAGTGAAATTGACTGCAACAGCTAATGTACACACACACACACACACACACACACACACACACGACTTAAAAGTGTGTCTTTGAGAGCACACACATATCGAAGCCGAGCGTGCCAGGCATACCAAGGGGAGCCTCAACAAGCCAAGGCGGGGTTGGTGGGCTGCTGGAATGATACAGAGATGGACATACAGACACCTCTTTGAAAGTGATACATGGCCCTGGCTGGCAGCAAAGCGCCACTCCAGATCCCCTCAGACAGGCAGAGAGATGCCAGGCTGGTTGGGATTTAGGCTGTAATGAGCCCAGCCGTGCGAGTGTACACACACACACTTAACACAACACACTTAGTGTCTAAGTTCACTCCACAATGTGGCCAACTGCTAAGATAACATGGATGTGTGCACAAGAGACGAACTACAAAGCAAAACTAATGGACAGATATAAATTCCTGGGTATCACATATTTGTAGGGCCAGATACACACACGTGCACACACAGCATTAGCCATTATGGAGACAATCCATACTCATGTACACAAAAAAACCCAACTTATATATATTTGGCCAAATAAGTATATTACAAGTGGACAAACACAGGGTACTACAATAAGGATAATTACAGGACATTTCTAAGCCAAACATGAGCCTGTTCTCTTAACCTGAAACCGTCAGTTCTGTCACTTTTTCAAAACTAAAGACAACCATCTTCTCTTTCTGCCTCTAGATACCCAGTTTCAATTTCCTTCACAAACCTTTTCACAACACTGGGAGATGCTTTACAAGCTAGCGTGCTTTCATTAGGTCCAATAGCGTAAAGCAATACAAATGCTAAATTACATTGTAAGGACGAGGTTTGCTATAATTCTTCATTACACTTTGACTTTTTGGAATAGGTTAAGTCAAAGTCAAACAGTTAAGTAACTCTGAAAAAATTAATACCACAGACGCTGAACTTAATCATTTCAATGTTCACCTTGTATTAACCTCCAAATACATTAGATAATATGTTTGGGTAAAATGCTTAAACTAACCTGATCATCTGACTGCTTTTGTTGCAGACACAACTGACTTTTGTTGGAAAATTGAGTGCAGCAATGTCATGGTGCCAGATTTCAGCAATTAAATTGCTGAAATCTCAAACCAATAAAAGTGTTGGCTAAAACTACAAACATAAAGCCAGTGGGACTGTCTGATTTTAAGATGTTATTCTGTGCCCCACTAGGCATAATTACTCTATAAAATTACAGTTTTTCATAATAAAATACCATAAAACTTAAAAGCCCAGCCTTTTATTTGCTAAAATAACTCAATTGACCCTGCCTTTATTTGGGACAGGCCTTTAATTCCTCTGCACAAAACTGAAATAGGCTACTATGAAACAGTTTATATATTTCAAACAGAATATTACTTGTATAAAAAATATTTTGAAGGCAGCAACTTAACGAAAACAACAACAGGGTGCAGGATGAGAGAAGTGTGGCAGAAGTTAGCAGACAGAGAGCAATGGACTTCACATGACAGGATTCATAGCTTGGATTCATTTTTATGAAAAGATTTTTTGATTCTTTTGATGGGTGGACCCTTACACACTAAAGGAATATAAATAATCAAGGAACGGACACATTTGGACTTAACGAGTGCTTCAAAGGTAAAAGGGAGTCGGGACTTTTTCTTTTTCTTTACATCTCTTGTACATGCGGTTTCACTGGTAAATCTATAAGAATTACTTTGGGTCTTGTTGTTTCCATTAAATTAACTGAACGATTGAATTGTAGAGAATCTAACCGATCTAACAATGTGTAGCATGTCCATACTGACATGTTGATAATCCGTTAATATATGTATTAACGATCTACGAGCAGGCGAACCTGTGGGGTTTAAGAGGTTTTATACATCCTGTTTTATACAACTTGAAGTTTTACGGTATATTCCAACATTTGAAATGGCCATGACAAAAGCTGCACTTAATGTGTAGTTATATAGCTAACTGGGACTAAACTGTTTTTCTTTGCCATATTTTTGCAGACTTTTTATCCAATCATGTGTCAAGATCTATAAATAATCAAATATACTATCCTGACCTTTCCAGGTGTAATAATCCCCATCAGTCACAAAGAAAGGATATGATTGGGTGGCAGGAAGTTCCAGCTGAGGACCTGGTTGGCCAGAGCCAGGTAGCGCTGGAAGACAGACGACATCTGGGCGTTTAGGTTTTCTCGGCGGCTGAACTCCTGCAGTACCTCCATGGTCAACATAAAGATCTGACGCAGGCCCTCTTCCTGGAAGCAAGGGAGGGATGGAAGCAACAGAGACAGACGGATGAATTCAGAAACAAATAGTGATACATAAAGGAAAAGCAACAGTCTATGACTAGTTTAGAGAAAAAGAATGAAGAACAACAATCCCTCCTTTTACAACTTTACTGCTGAAAACAGAGAACAGGAGGTGAGGTGGGGAACAAACCTGGAACAGACGCTTGCAGCTGCCGTGAAACTCCATGCTGAGGCCGATGCTGCTGGTCTTACTGGAGCTGGAGAACTCACTGAGCAGAGCGGTCAGGATGGAGCAGGCCAGTGTTTGCTGCAGCAGAGGGGGTTGTGAGATCATACAGGCCAAATGTTATGCAAAGAATTATACTGGAGGCCAAACCTGAGCATAGATCATCAGTGAAGACCCAAAAAGGAGAAAGCCTGACTATACTTCATGTGGCAATCCAATACCATACTGCATACTAATTCCAAGGAAGGTTTTAATATGAGTTGGGCACATTGGAAACACTACAAAATTAACTATACTGAAAAAAAATCTGTTTGCAGCTTGGTCTGCTGTTGTTGTACACTAGTGCTCCACAATGCAATGCACAAAGGAAATGGAGCAGCTGCTCACAGCTGCAAGACATTATAACAAGCTGTGGTTGGTGGTGAGACTGCTTAGTGAAGATCTGAGTAAACAAAAATAAGTATGAAATCTTTGGAACAACAGTTTGCTTTCTCTATTTTGAGGATTACTTTGCAGCGATGCCTCACAGTCACAGTGAAATTGATTTCTGTGAGCACACATACTGCATAATGTCCTGTACAAAATAGTAAGGTATATTGAATTTCACGAACTACAAAAGTATACTAGAATTATTATGAACCGTATACTGTTGGTATGTAATATACAAATGGCTCTGTTCTAATGAACATGCATCTACTAGTCGGAAAAATTACAACTCTTTTCACAACTTATGGATAAATGATCAGTGGTAAGGAACACACATGTTGGGTATTACAGGACAAATTATTATTAATTAGTATAATTCTCAGAGACAGCGTTTATTGAAATCATCAAAGAACAGTAATTTAATTTGTACTCACAATCTATTTAATTTGTGCCTTTGACCTGTAAATACTGATTATTTCAGTACAGATGAATCCCTTTATTATTTTTTAATATGGCATAAAATACAAAACGGCCAGCGATTGTCTTTAGCCCAAGGTGATATCCTCAAATTGCTTGCCAACCAACAGTCGAAAACCCAAAGATTTTCCATTTACAATTATATAAAGCTGTGGAAAGCAGCAAATCTTCACATTGTGAAACTCGAACCAGCAAACATTTGGCATTTTTTGGTTGATAAATCACTCAATGATTGATTAATTACCTTTACTTTAATTAGATTAATTAATTAATCAATCCACTAATTATTTAAGTATCAGTTCCTTTTAACATCAGGCAGTGGACACCAGATCAAAATTTGCCAAAATCTGGTGATTAAAAGGGCATCCCTCCCAAGCAGCTAATTCACTCACTCACAAACAAGTGCTGAATATTAGGACTTTTGTTTTGAATGAATGCATAATATTTCAGAAGGGAATCTTTTTCCATAGTCTCTAATTGTAAAATGACTTTGCCCTCTGTGTTCCAGATTCTGAAGACTGAGGAATGACGAATTTAGTTTAGGAGAACAATAGTTGTGGGACTTCAGCCCAAACAAACACTACATTAGGTGGCTTAACTGATCACTTTGTCCTGTCTGGGTTTGTACAACCAAAAAAAGAAAAAGAAAAAAAAGACAGAAATCACCAGCTGTGGTCTATAATTTAAAAAGCACTTTCATCCCTCCACCACATAGATGCCCTTCTCTTGTTTGGTGAGGGAAACAAATGAAATAGTGCCACCTATTGGATTAAGAGGAGATGCCCAGTTCGTTTTATAAAACCAATGAGCACTGAGGATTGAGTCATGCCAATACCCCCCCCCCAAATGTGACACAAATATTTTGCCTGTATGTACATAGTCTTAATTTAAAAAACTTTGGCTTCATCTTTTTCCCCCCATAAGGTCACCCAAGCAGTTCACAGCACCAAACACCAAAAACATATAGACAAAAAGGTTTTGAGTACATGAACAACAAAAACAGGCACTTGATATAATACTTTTGTCTAACCACAGGAATGCGCCTGGAGCTTCTTTCCCAGTACGGCCTTTGTGCCATTTTTTTATTTTCAGACTGAGCTCTGTGTAATCTGAGCCAGATCCCATGCAGAATGTCTGTAACCAGGGCGCAAATGTGGTCCATCAAGTCACAGATAAAATAAATATGATCAAAGCTTTAACCCAGTTAAATGTGAGTGAAATACACTCAACAAGTTCAACCATTCTGCAACTGTGTTTTGGGTAACTGTTGTGTCTGTTAATGTATTCTTTGACTATAAGAACATAATTTATTATAGACAGGAGTAGGGCTCGTATTATTTATAGACACAATTTACTGTGAGAGGCACAAAAAAGGTGAACCAATTAAACTGTCAAACTTTATTATTTGTATCACTCTTCGTCTATTTGAATCTAAACTTGCACATGTGGCGTTTGAAACAGCGGAGAACACTGATGATGGACAACATAGTGTTTGTACAAGATAGTTCGGGGGTAGAGCTGTGTTTGTGTTAGTCGATGAGGTTTTCCTGAGACCTTGCTTAGGTTTTTACAAGGTTGGAAATTAAACAAAAAAGGGAAACCTTTATTTACTTCTTTATTTACCTCATTTTGATTTTAAGTCACATTTTATAAAGCTGCCTAAAAGTCACCAACATATACTTATTTACTAATTTATAATTTGATCCTGACAGTCTTTGTGTAGTCAAAACACAAGAAGAAACTACGGCATATGGACCAAGTTGCCTTTTCATCTCAATTTAACAGGCATCTATACTGAAGCGCTGGGCTTTGACATTGTGGAAGATATTTTGGTGATCTAATGTGTCTTGCACGTGGGCAAAAACAAAAAAGGGGAACATAAATGGTTTACAACACATTATGTACTGATACATCTGTATGTCTTTCTCACCACTGTGGGGTTCCCGCTGCTGATGAGCTGTCCGACCTCGTGAAAGATGCTTTTGCAGTTGATGCTTTTGTCTAGAGAGCCCCTCTTCACGATGACCGCCACAGCCAGCAGGATCTGCTCTCGGACATACTTCTGGAGACTGGAGGAAACAGGAAGAAACTGACAGTAAGTGCGACAGATATGAGGTGAACGGACACTGACCGTCCGCAGGGGTTGAGAATACGAAGAAAAACAAAGTGAAAGAAAGATGCTGAGGGTTCAAACACAGCTGCAGCTTATTTCCTTTGGCTTGTATCACATGGAAGATTGCCTTTTTGTTTTGTTTTTTTAAATAACACTGTCTAATCAAACAAAAGTAAATAGGAATCCTTTTAGCTTGTTTGTTGAATAGAGTTTTAACTTCGCTGCACCAGGTCAGAGAAATTGGCAGAGAATAAGTATGTACTCTTTTTCTCTTCTGATTATACCCCAGGACACCTGAAAAACAGCTATTTATGAGCATCAGCCTAGACTTCCCATGTATGAGGACCCACAGGCTATCTGATATCTGATGTGCAACAAATTTCGCGTATAAAAGATAAGATGCAAAACATTTCTTGAGTCTTGTTGAGTTAGAAACCCAATTTCAAATGCCATAAAACCTACTTGCACAAACAATCAACCAAACAAATGAACTGCTGCTTTTGGTGTGATGCCACCCAGATTTATAGGTATATTATTTAATCTAGCTCATCAAAAAGACCATCCTATATCTGTGATATTTGAAAGGCTAGCTGATGAATATTAATGGCTCTTGAATTAGCTGTACATTTTTCTGTGCTTTAGACTTATGTAAGAGGAGGTGAGGTCTATTGATGTTCTTCCACTCCTGTAAGACACACAAACAAATTTATTATGCCTCTTTCCTTCTTTCTTACTTGGGTCTCTGTAAAACGTAGGTGAGGAGGAATGCCCGAAGCGACTCGATGCTGGTCTTTTCCAGCAGGATCCATTCCCGCACCACTGCCTCCATGATGGCTGTGGCTGCCTGAAACAGCACATAGTCCACCTTACTGGTCTCTGGAGATGGGAAAAGGAGGTGCGAGAGAAGAGAAATAAGGAAGGAGAAAGATTAGGAGAAATGGATTGTTAAAATGAACTGATGTTCTCCTTTTGAGTCAGTACATTTACTTGCACAAACATGTAAATACAAGTTAGTTACAATGCGTTTGAAAGCCCAGATTGATGTTTTAGCACAATAAATGCATTTACATGCTTTGCAATTATCACACTTTCCTAAAAAACCTGCGTTTACAGTCTAAGGATGGAAATTATGTCCACTAGCCATCTAAATATAAGGTGCTGTCCTAGTTATCATAAAAAATACTTGCTGATTGATGGTTTCTGATAGTATGCCATTTCAGATGGCATGGGGATATTTTTATTTTGTACTTTAAAACTTTTTGTCCCGTGGGGCAATTGGTTCTGCAGCAAAACATACATAAAGACAGGCATAGATTAGATACAAGACTAAAAAAAATAATATACTGAGTATTGCTGACTCCGGTTGTACAACAGTGGAATAAAGTGCTCAATTTAGGGACATTAAATTGTGCCTGTATACAGTAAATATCAAAACCTTAAACAAAATTCAAAATTTCCACCCATAGTTAAGTTTTATGATTTGTGATAGATTATTGCTTAATAAGATGTGGCAATATAAATGCTCTATTTCTTGAGTTATTAGTTGTTAAATTACAGTTTTAAGGCAATTTTATTTATATAGCACATTTCATTACAAATAAACGTAACATGCTTTACATTAAAATGAAAGCAGCAACTGATAACATACACTTAGTGTCCAGTTTATTGGATACACCTAGCTAAAACTAACGCAGCCCTACAATAATATTCTACTTTCTTGAAGGTTAAAATGACCAGCAGAAAACGCCTAGCTGGGAGCGCTTTGGAGGCGCAGCATTTTTTTTGGCTGAGATGCTTTGGTTACTATTATACATAATATCCGTGGAGGTGATGTGCTGCAAGTAGGCTACCTAATTTTACTGAATGTCAAAATGTCACCACAAAGTTGTCTACAGTAGCCCTAGGCCTACTTGCACTGGCCCTTGCTCTGCAAGAATAGAAGGCTGAAACATGTAGTGAGGGGACCGACTCGCCGTACGTGGGTCCATGAGATTTTGCGGGCGAGGAAATAACTCTGCAAGGAGGCACATCGAAACTACACTCAATTAAAGAATGTAGTGTCTCTTCTACATGCAATATCCCTGTGATGGATCAGGTAACATACCTGGAAGCAGTGATCTCCAAAGACCAAAACGCAAGAAGTCTATTCAATTTTAACCCAATCACTGACAAAACAAACTAAGAAATTAAACCATTGGCTGCTCAGGGATTTATCTATGAGAGGCAGAATATTACTATCTAAAGCAGAAGGCATATCCAGACTCACTTACTTGTCTTTGGATGTTGACACAAAAGAATTGGCAATATGTTGTTTAATTTTGTCTGGAAAAACAAAACTCTGTTAAAAAGTCTGTGATTAACTACTCAGTGTGGGGGTTTGAAAATTTGCAATCTTTTCCAAGATTGGTGGCCTGGACTTTCTTTTATTATGTAATTATAATATCAGCAAAATCCCTAAACTTTCATAAGAACATGCTTTGTCCGGGTCTCTCTTATTTAAACATAACTTCTCTCTACACCAATATTATATTTGGAATAATAATATAAAAACAAGTCAATATTTTTTGAAAACTGGTTAAATAATAATATTTTACTTGTTAGTCAACTGTTTGAAACTAATAGGAGACTATATAGCTACTCAGACTTGGTGCTTTAACCTGGACATTTTAATCAGAAAGTCTTAATGAATGTTAAATTATTTTTGTAGAATGAAATGCTGTATGTGGGCGGTACGGTGGTGCGGTGGTTAGCACTGTTGCCTCACAGCAAGAAGGTCGTGGGTTCAAACCCCGGCTGCCCCGGCCTTTCTGTGTGGAGTTTGCATGTTCTCCCCCGTGTCTGCGTGGGTTCTCTCCGTGTGCTCCGGCTTCCCACCATCCAAACACATGCAGGCTAGGTTGATTGGTGTGAGTGGTTGTTTGTCTATGTGTGGCCCTGCGATGGACTGGCGACCTGTCCAGGGTGTAACCTGCCTTGCGCCCGATGTCAGCTGGGATTGGCTCCAGCGACCCTGTACGCAGGATAAGCGGTTGACGATGGATGGAAATGTTGTATGTCTTTTCTTCTTATGTGCTGTATGTTAATTTTCAATTAAAAAAACTAATTAAACTCTCGGCATTGGAAAAAAAAATCGCCCAGTGCGGAAAAGATGCTCAGCGCCTCGTCATGCTGCTGGTGTTTTTACCATGATGTAAAAAACGCGGCACTCCCATTACAATCAACTGAAAAAAAACGTTGGCCTCAGGAAAAAACGTGGACACAGGGCCTTAGAGATGAGGACCCACAGGCTATCTGATATCTGATGTGCAACAAATTTCGCGTATAAAAGATTCAACTTGTATGGGGTTCATTAGATTAAAAATGTTAAAATAAAATGATGTCTTAAAAATAAGCTATGCAGCCTAAACGATTAAGTCACTAGTTACCTAAGATGTGCTTGCAGATGGCAAAAGGGGATTTGGATTTCCTGAAGGAGAGGAATATGTGTTCAGCATGCTGCCTCTGTTCTGTGCTGACCATGGACGGCGGTGCCTGTAAAAAATAACATTAAAAAAACACACATTAGCATTTATAGACAAGGCTTAGTTTATTTTTACAATGGTCTACAAAATTGAGTTCTCATACTTCTCAGAACATCTAATTCAAATATATATTTGTGATTTTAAAACTTTTTTTTGGTGGGTTATGGTCAACGAGTATATAGCTGCTAACATGCTAATAGTAGCATGGGCTTGTTAGCACAGTGCTAATATACCCTTACGGAAGCATGATTATTATTTTATGTGTCCAAGAAAAATGTATGTTGAGCCAATGGAAGGTATATTGTTGAAATGTGCATGTGCACTGTGAAAACACTGTACATATGTTTGTAGATTGTGGTTAATGATATCAACAGAGCTCAAACTACAAAACACTACAAAAGGTTTGTGTTTTCTTGATAATGTTGGTCTCCACATTTGTGAAACACAGGTTTAGCTATGTGACATTATGTCTTTGCTAACATTGTAGCAGCCAGGAATGCATATAAGGTGTTCTGTGATGAAATGCTGTTGCTGAGCACAATACCTCTTGCAGGAAAAACATGCCATAAGATGAAATAGAAGAAGATGTTCTACTAGCAATCATATTTTAAATACAAAGAAAACTGACATGTCAGGTACAAGACATGACACTGCTCAGTACCACAAGGATAATTTTTTACTCCTTATTTTGTCAAATCAAAAATCCAGATGAGAACGTTTATTTTCATGCTGTAAATTCACTGACAACCAAGCTCACAGCTGGACAAGTTTGTCCCAGGAAAGGAGGCACCATTAGTGGTTCGCTAAGATTAGAGATGGTACAGTGTACACTAAACGTTCATTAAAACAAATACTATTAAGAGAACTATTACACGCCCTGATATTAATATTGTAGTCATACTTTATATAAGAAGTACAAAAACAAGTTCAGTCAAGTTCAATTCAGTCAATAACAGAAAAGCCTCCATAATAACAAAAAAGGCATTACAACACCAAATGCGCTATGAATAAAAGTGAGAAAGTGTTACACAGACTTTTATTGAGTAGTGTCGCCATGATACAGCTCAGCAGGAAAGTCACATTCCAGGCCTAATTGCAGTAAAAGCAGCTCTGCGGCTGAAGGCAGCAGAGTAAAGAAAGACCGTTTATCTGAGCGCACACAGACACACACTCACTTCAAGACACATAATATACTATGATGAGATGGCAGTCGCAAAACATGCCATGCCCAAAAAATTCAATGAAAAATATCTCACTAACATGAAATATATATTTGATGACAAGTGGCACTAATAAATATTCATTTTATATTAACAATGGAATCAACAGTGGACTGTGAAGCTTCTGACTGAAGCATTTTAAGCGTCTTTCAGCGAACTGTTTTGATTTTAAAGCCCACAACCTTAAGGTTTTGGTTCAGACTCATTGCGCTCATCTGCATCATTTTCAACCACAACAGACAGAAGTTTTCAACTAAGTCTGATAAACACACTTTACACCACTAGTTTTCCTAGCTTACCACAAAAAGCAAACAGACAGATTTGCTCAACTGTTCTGCTAACAAACTTGCAAATGCGAGCTGAATTAAAAATGCTAAATTGTTTAGTTGAATCAATGACTGTTTATTACATTAAGGAATAACTATAAACCATATTAATGCTTTTAATATCAAGTAGATTTAAGAAGTCCCATGCCTATAGACTGTCGTGTAAATATTAACATGTTTGCATATTCAACGGTACGGACAGTACTTACTTAAAGAATTGTGAATGTACTTGTCAAAGTTTGGACACATTTTCATTACCCAAGAGGCACACTTAACTCACAACAGAAAGTCACCCATAACATATTATACAATATGTTCCAAGTGAGTCTGGGAAACCTCTATGGTAAATATCATGTGCTATTGCGGTGAATATTTTGCTGTATTTCCTTCTGCTCTTGTGCACTGACCACCTCGACAGAGAAGCTACTACTGAGTCCTACTCTACTCTAAAATACTGTCATACTATCATAAAAAAATAAAAATCAAGATACTGATGGATAAATTTTACTCAAGTACAAGTTCAAAATATGAATTTAATTTAATATGGTACAATGATTTCTCGACTGAATACGGCTATCAAGAGAGCAAAGTTAAAAGGTTCTGTACCAAAGAAGGTGTGTCTGGCATTTCTAAAAAAACAAAACAAAAAAGGTAACAGTGCTTTGTTAAAAAAAAAAAAATCAACCAGTTTTTAGCCCTTTTGTTTTGTGTCGAAACATTTTCTCATCATTGATAATGTCTTGTAATGATTATGTTTTTTTCTCCCCCCATCTGTTGACCACAAAGTCAGGATGAGGTAGTCAATTCAGTGCCAGTATAATGTATTGCCTGATCACGGCCCTGTAGTGTCAATCAATCTATTAATGTTTTGGGACTAATAATCCAGATCTTCACTATAATAATCCACTCTACTTTACCACACTATTCAACTACTCACCATGTACACTCAATATGGTTGCTGATGGTAACTGATGTATTACAATACATAGGGCTGGAACTAATGATTATTCCCAAAACGACGTCTTTAAATGTCTTGTTTTGTCCCCAACCCAAACATATTCAGTTACTGTCATAAATGAGGAAACAAACGAGAAAATATACACATTGGAATCAGAGAATTTGAATTTTTTCCCCCCGCAAAAATGTTTTCTAAAAAACAACAAAACAATTCATGTATTATACTACCTTTACAAATGTCATAATACTACAATAGTTTTTATCAAAACTGTAGAGAGGTGATATAATTTATAGTGTTATTTCAGTGACGGTAGACTAGATGTTACAAACACCTCTTAATACAGTGCTATGCAATTCACAAGCAGTATACCACAATGTTCAACAAATTTTGAAATAAATTGTTCAATTCACCATTTATATTGAATAAGGTCTTGCACCGAATAGTACAAAAGCTATACGACTTAATGTTCCGGCCCTGCTTCATCGAGGCACTAAAATCTGCACATTACGGATCACAATCCCTAAAATAATGCCAGATAATCAATGATAAATATCAGCACACTGGCCAGATCAGAATCTCATCCAACAAACTAAAAGGGGGCAACAATGTCCACAACTGTATATCAAAATGTCTGTGTAGGTACGTGGAATCACATATAGGTAATCTGATGTTTACCACAAAGGATTATGTAACCTAAAAGATTAAAGTCAAACTGGAAGTATTCATTTGAGGCGTGCAACCAATTCACAAAATTCACAATCTGATTAGACATGTTGACCTATATCTTATGCTCGTCCCCCCCCTTCATATCCATCTCTTTACTCTACAATAAAGGCAAAAATGCCAAACATAATCTTTAAAAAAAAAGGAGTATGAGTACAACATCTGGGTGAAAGAACAGAGTTTAGTTTTGTGCTGTTTCAAGTGGCTCCAAAGCAGCATAATAGATGACATATTTTAAAAGCAGCGCTTTATCATGTAATAAAATCAACCTGAAACAGATATAATATTAACCAGTGTACTTTGATTTAACCATAAATCCACAATTTCTATTAAATCAAGAGCCATGTACTGATTAGTAAAATGTGATGTTTACTGTTACACCCCTGGTTAATCTACAAACACAAATGTATACAGTTACATTGTGATTCACACAATGTCTAAAACGAGACATTCAGAAGACACCTGCTGTCTACAATGTGAATCACCGGCCATGCGTGTGTTTGTGTTGACATAAAGCCACTAAATCTCAGTCAGTGTCATCTTCTAAAAAAGGACAACAATGTCCAGTTTAACCCCCCCAAAGCAAAGGGAAAGCAAAATGGCAGAAAGCAACAGCTAGTTAGCTAAATTCACCCAGCACAGAGACTCATGACATGCACATGGTTAGCCACTTGCTCTTAGCTTGTGTATTCAGCGTAATATAGTCCAACGGAGGCTGGAGGGTGTTCAGAGACAAACACTTGATGTAAATGAGTGTTTTGGGGGGGATACAGAAGAAGCTAAAGCTACACACCGAGTGAATCAACAGCGTGTTTATGCGAGCAGCACCGGGATGCTCTAACTGTCTCATGAGTGCAATAAAACTTGATGCAACGTTAACGGCTGGAAAAGGGACAGCGACACGAACCGTTCAACTTTCTGGAGCCACATTGGAAAGTGTCCAAACGTGGGGTTGGAGGGGAGGATATTTTTTTAGGGTGGTGGCGGTTTCTGAGAGGAAGGATGAAAATGAAAACGGGGGTAGATGATGAGCGGATTATTTTTGCGGGATGGAGCCAGGCAAGGGAAGGCAAGGCGCCACGCATCGCTCACATATCGTTTCTGTTAAAAACTGAACACATTCAACAACAAAAACCGAGAAGAAACAAACAACCGCGGGGGTTCCCAACCGCCAAACTCCACCCGTGACAAAGTTAAGATATATGTGCCGCCCTTCTCATGGCTATAAAACAACGCTGAATATCTCACCATTAAAACTTTGGCAGCGCTTTCCAGCTGTGTGATCACTTCTGGTGCACCGACCGCCGCCATCATCGTCGTCCCTCTCCAATGACGCGCCATGCGCTCTGCATTGTGGGATTACTGCGCTGGTACCCGGCAGGGTTCAACCCCAACCGACCCTAAACCCGGCAACTTCAGAGGAGTTATGTAATCCAGAGAAGAAGACATTTACTCCAACTCAAGACGTGTTGTTTTTTTTTTTAAGTCCTGTTCGCTTCAGCAAAAATATTCCAATAAAAGTTGACATTTAAATGAAAACATAGTATCTAATTTACTTATGTGAAAATATGAAGCACAGATTCCCTATTGTGTAATCAATAGATATAAATTAGTTCCACCTCGACCAGTGTTAACATTAAAGTGCTGCTTTAATTTTAATGCATCAGCAGTGGTGGAAAGTAACACAAGTACATGTACTCAAGTACAATTTTGAGGTACTTGTAGTTTGCAGATAATACTACTAAATGTAATCAACAAATAACATCTGATGTATTATTACAGGTCAAGATAAAAGTGTATTGAACTCTGTGAAAATTCACATGCATGTATGTAAAATAATAGAAATTAGCCCCACCATGTCTATTTATTAAATGCAAATACACAAATAATAAATGAACAAAGGGGTATGCAAACTGAATTCAGATGGATTTACTCTGGAGGGATGACAGACTGTGTATCACATTAAATTCACATGGTATACAACAGATGTTTATACATGAGCTAAATTTTTTAACTTGACTAACTGTCAAGCTATGACAGGCCTAAAACTAACAATTAGAAAGGATAATAAAGTTAATATATCACCTTTGGCACACTAATGGACTGAAATAAAGCACAAGTTCATGTTGGTTAATTTAATTTATACATACATTTTACACACAAGGACTGTGAAAGCATTTTTACAAATTCTCAGTTCATACATGAATGTAAAAAAAAAAAAAAAGATGGCTGTCCACATTACAACATCTATAATACTGCGTAGACATGGATTTTTGAACATTAGCACAAGGGAAATTGAAAAAAGGGGGAAAAAAAGATACAAAAAATATGTATATCTGTATAAATATAAATTCAAGAGTAAGAATTGTATCATACTTTAAGGAGCATCAAAGGCAACAAGAGACTCCTTAGAGTAAATGAAAAAGGATACATAAGTAAGTCTCATGAAGAAATCAGATCGGAGCATATCAAGTCAGTCAAAGATTGTCAGTCATCACTGTCTAACCTTAGAAATTGAAAAGAAAAAAACATATCCAGGAACAACCTCACACTTTGTGAAACCCAAACACTGTGCAGAGAGCTGTGGCTCACGTAATAAAGCTATTTTTAATGAAGCAGTCCATCCTGGTCAATGTAGATTGACAACGCAATCAATGAGAGGTTTAAAGAGGTGGAACGGTGTCTGGGGAAGAGTGAAAAAGCAACACCTGTCTGCCTTAATCTCAATGATTGTGCCCTTGAGCAAGGCACTTAATCCATTATGGATCCAGTGGTGCTGCTCTGTAGAAGACTATGGTTTATCTGGGCAGCTCACAGACAACACTGGCTATGTTTACATGCAGAATTTACTGGCTTTAGTCCAGTTTGAGCCACCATTAGACATTCATGAAAAACAGCAAAAAAAAAAAAAAAAAAAAGGTTCTTTCACATAGTGATTACGTTAATTTTTTTTTGTATAGATGCAACAAATCAGTCAGTCTGTGATATGAAATTAAAAATTTGAACAATCAAACTCAAATAAAACCAGCACCTTATTAAATTTCAACATAACCTGAGTTGGAACATTGTACAGCGGTGAGGACCCTGTTTCCCTTTCCTAAAACTATATGTTGCAGAAATACATTGAGTTACAGAAAAGTGGCATCTAATTGGATTTCCTTGTGATTTTAAGGGCAAAGAGACAATTTAAGATTACACATCTCATTAGTCTCAGATGTCAGGCATTGTAATTTATTTTTGCGCCCACAATTTTCCTCCCTTTCTACCTTATCTAATTATATTTATTGTAAGTTACTGACAAGAATAAGATTGATTGTTGGTGCGTGTAAACAAAGCCAGTGTGAATGTGAAACATCAACTTCCCCAGGTCAAGAATAATAACAGGTAAAAGAGGTCTGTGAAAAAGAGATGGTGATAAGGCAATCGTTTAGGATTGTGCTGCTCACTTTAGAACACAAGGCACATTTACAGAAAAACAAACTTTTAATACATTGTCAAGCAAAAAAACACAAAAACAAACAAACATCAAAATCTTCTGTAACAAATCTGAGCCACACATTTTTCATCATTCTGCCAGTTGTGCATCAGAGAATCACTCAAAGACTTCTTTAGCATTCCCAGTCATTAAGTCAAATTCAGAATACTGTTGGAACTGTTTGGTGTTATAATTGACCAAACCGTTCAGTTTGACTCAAAGAGACCAGTTACTGTTTACTGATCGTCAATAAGCAAGAAGATACTGGGTGACAGCGTCGTCTGCTGGACAGCAGAGCTCTAATAAAGAACATGGCACAGATCTGTAGCAAAAGTACACAGTTAAACAACACTCAAACTTGTGGTCATTTTGGATAAATAGAGAAAATGTACCAAACACTTTGCAGAAGTCTAACCATTTGCAATTTTGTAAAATAGAGAAAACTAGTCTGTTTTTTTTTCTCTTTCAAATTACATATTCTCAAGACAACCTGCCTCACTCCTCCTCTTCCTCTAACTTGTATCTACTCTGTTCCATCTCTTTTCTGAACCAGAATCCTTAACACCCTACTCTCCTACATCCAGGGCCAGCCCGACTGCAGGAGGCGAAGAGTATTCTATGTTCTGCAAACACTGATCACCACTGTTGTCTCCTTCGTCATCTAGCGGCGATACACACCCCAACATTCAATTAGAAAAGGCACACAGCTCTTTACTTTCAAAACCCAAGCACACTCGGCAATTAAGCCAAAAATTCTTTAAGCCACAACAAAAGAAAACAGGTACAAATGTAGTAACAATTATAATAATATTGTGAATAATATTAACCACAATAATAAGCAGCATGTTGTAACTGAAAAAAGAAAAATATATATAAACCAATATATTTGTACATTTCAGTACTAAACGTTCAAAAGGATATTAAGTGTTTAGAAAACTATTTATATAATGGGTTTTTTTGTATTGCACATAGTCATACTATCATGTTTGCTGTTGTAAGAACGTGTTGCGTTGTGTTTTCATGACTGACTCCAGAAGATACAGGAAGCCGGTTATGTTACAATGCAACTGTGGGATTGATCTTTGCAAAATAGCTGTGCGTGTGTGTATTAGAGCTTTTCTCAGTTAGAAACATACTCAGCCCAGCCCGACCCGCCGTGTTCAGGCCTGTCAAAGTCTGGCTCTGATTCCTTTTAATTCTCTTCAAATCAGGTTGGGTTTCATTCCATTCACCCGTTTTTTTCCCCTAAAATAAAGAATGGGAAAATATGTGTTGTAACAAGTAACAAGAGAGCAATCTTTCCATCTGATCCAATTCTTCCTATAATTTATGAACAGAAATCCACTGCATTTCAGGCTTACAATAATATTTCTTGTTTTAATAAGGCTTGGGCTCAATAAAGGCTACAGTGGTTCAGTGTTGGATTGGGCTAGATTTCTCAAACTCTACACATGCCCTTTGTGCCTGTGTAGATTTAACATTTTTTGTAGGTGACTATTGAAATGGTAAGCTAGAATAGGAAATCAGTAACAGGAAGTATTTTTATGAACTCACGGATATTTGTAACAGCAACCATCTGAGGGAAGAAGGATCAGGCTTCCATCTTAACAATAAAACATTACACTGACCTACAGTTGGCACAGAATTAGGCATTTGTGGATATAAATGATAGATGGAGCAGCCAAAAATATTGTATTTGGTTAAACTGCGAATGCAGAAATTTAAATTAATGACAGAGAAATATTTAAAAATTGGAAACTGAATGCTGCCAAAGGATGCACATTCTCTGTCACACAAGAGGGCTGCTAAACAGTTTCTCTGTGGGTGAACACGAGGAATTTTGGAGAATTCATCATCTAGTCTGTGCCAACATCTTGAAACTTCAACACTGGACACTGAAATATACCTGCAAACACTGTCTTTAACTAATTGATAATAACCGTGTGTGAGTGTGTGCACGTGCATGCATGTGTCTTTGTAGCTTATTTAGCAGCTGTGATAGAGGTGTGATGCTTATTCAGTCCCCCGCCCTCAACAATCAACAAGTAAACTGGTTCCACTCTTCTCACTGCTGTGTCCAATATTCGAGTGTAAAGCAGCTCAGGTAGAACAGGAAGCAGCTCCTGTGTCTGAACGTGACCATGGAGGTGTTTCAGACATCCGTAAGACACAAGGGTGGAAGGAATGGGTAAAGAAACTGCTGGAAGAACCAGAAGCAGTCCTCAAATTAGAAATCTTGTCTGTAATCCAGACATCCTTTCATTCCCAAGAATATTAACTATTTCCTTTCAAGCTGTACAGTTTCCAAGTCTTACTCTTCCAACCGCACATGCTTCACCCTTGATGCAATCAGTCACATAAAGAATGTTGTTTTTTGGTCCCGGATCAGAGGAGCTTTGTATTTAAAGCCATTGTGGATGCACTATAAATTCCACAAGGTGGCGATGTTCATCAATTCTGCTCCTGCAACTCAACAAATCACACATGCCAGATATGCAAAGAAACACTCAGACACACATGTGTAGCGTACACATCAATGCACACGGACACATACACAGAAAAAGAGCAGTGGCAGGTTGGAGGGTCATGAGCTAAATGATGAGCATTAGTCGGCAGTAATAAACACACAACGCTCAGAAAGCCTGTCAGTCTGCAGCTCTAGACGTACACCGGTTCACATCCCTCCCCCTGCTCTCCCTCCTCCTCCTCTTCGTCATCCTCTTCCTCTTCCTCCTCCTGTTCTTGTTCATCCTCCTCTTCTGTGCCCATGCAGGTGGCTCCGGTGACGCTTGACGACCCACTGCTAGCCTCAAGTGGTTTAGGGTAGCGGAAGGGGCAGCCGTTGTCATCGAAGAATCTGCGGAAG